AACCTTAACCTTGTATAACTCTATTCCATATAGCAAGTATAGACTCAGATGTGACCTATGTATGACAGAAATTTTCATTACCCACTTGGTTTAGGATGTTTTTCATAGATGGATAACAGTTTAAATTAAAACTGACAGGCAATGGAAAATAAATATTTAGGTTGAAACCTTCTCGCAATGGTTTGTAAAATTACGCTTGTTTTAATGATTTTTTTTCCAGAATTATCCATCATTCCAAAGGATATTCACTATATTACATTTGAATATATTTTACAAAAACGTATGGATGAGGATCGCTTACATTCATTATATTTGGCTACATGCCGAATGTTATTGTTTTTTCTTGACTTGAATATTTTGAGACATACTTTTTTCCAACCCTGCACACAAAAGAATGTATACGACAAAGTTCATGATTGCCAGTGTAACATGCGGGTATGGCATCAACAGTGAAAGATATTTTATTCTGGACTTTGCCAAAGACACTTCCATATAAATCCATTGCCAGGGTAAACTCCGACTGACATCTCTCAGCTATTGCGTATGCGACTTGCAAATTCAACATTTTGGTATTAGCCAACATATTAACTGTAAAATTTATAATACATTGTCATCCATTTACAATCACGGGTTAAAAAAATATTGTCTGATGGCTGAAAAAACCAACATTAACTTTCTTTTCCCTCTTGTCCTTGTTAAACAGGGTTTTCCTTTAGCTTTGCACTATGCCCAATCATTCATTGTGTGAAAACAAAATCTATATTATGTACATGTAAGTGCTAATCAAATATAGCTACCTGTTTCCTTTAAAGCACCAAGAAAGACCATTTTCTTTCCAGTCTTTGTATCCTTGCTTCACGACATTCCACAGCAGCAAAGTATTGTTTATAAAACATTAAAAAAAACTTCTCTACCATCAACATTTTCATCCCGGATGGCCTCTATTACAAGACCTACCTATTGTATTTATTGTTAACTTGTTCTCGTCCTGAACATGCATGAAATATTTGCCACTGGATGTTAAGCAACCAACCATCAATCAACCTCCTCAGTGTCTTCTTATCCTGGGCCTTCAAACGAGCTGTTTCCTGAAACGTTTAAATATCAATATTACAAACATCTGACATTCAGTTTAAAATGTGGACATACCGAAAAGAAAGGATACAAATAGTGACTGGGTTCAGTGTTCATTAACATATACCCACCCTTCTAACACACACCAACCCGACCAAAAGGCCAGCACACTCTTTCTAAGTTTTTCATTCAGAATATAACGCTAAATGAAAAAAAAAAAACAATGTTTCAGCAAAATATTTTAATTTTAAAATACAATGTCATGATGATAGAATATCTGGTTTACAGAATAGAAAATATTGGATAAAATATGCAGAATAATTGTAAAAAAATTAGAGACTCGTCATTTAACTTATAATAGGGCATCCGTTTCATGACAGAAGAGAATTAATATTTAACTAACATTCATGGAAGGCTGATGAATTACTGTTTGCTAAATGTTGGTTGATAGAGTGTAATTAAGTGTAAAATCACAATGGTACTACCAACGACAAACTTATTTTTTGTCAGTTTAACATGCATTATTTGTGTTTTTTTTAATTATTAACTAGTCAGCACACAACGCCAATGTTCTTAAATAAAGACTTATCCAAGTTTATCATCATCTGACAATGCGTTAACGTCTCTTCTAGTAGTCGATAACTTTCTCGTGATATGGGACAAGCTATCTGTGGTACAACAACAGCTTCTTGGTCATTCTAGTGTAGAGGACCATCCAGTCAATACCATAATTGTCAATATCTTCATTTAACATATCGCTAGAAAACAAATCGTCTATTCCACAGTGTCCCTGGCCGAATTTCTGTAGAGCGGTTCTAACAGAAACATGCTAGAGCAACCTGAATTCGTGGTTTATATACGTACTGTAAACACCATATCTGGATTTCACTGGAATAATCAAGGTATCCACATCTTTCTAAGAAGTAAAATAGTTGATAAAACACGTCTGTACAACTCTGAAACATATCCCTCCACAATTGTTCTATTCTCTGGTTGTGGACACTCTTACCAGTTATTACTGATTCCCTGTTTGGGCCTCTCTGAGCAATCATGAAACCTGCTATTTCCATGTTTTCTAATCCATGGTCTTTCCTTTTTTTCTAGACGGTATCCCAAACTCGTGGCATGCATCTCCAAAAGGAATAAACTCTTTTAATGCTTTAATGTGAAGGGCAAGACGCAAGAAAACGATTGGCCGACTATATCCATCAATCCCACCGTATATCACAATGCCCCATCTGTAAAACAAAAAATAAATAATCATAATAGATGAATTAGTAGATTAACAAATCCTTGAAACAATAAAATAATTTGAGAAGGTCTTTTTTGTTAAAACTATTTGCAACAAAGTGTGTTGCATTTTTACAATTTCGTTAAATAGAATTATAGCCTAGCAATATCATAAAACTGAACGACGACGACGGCATGATAGCATTATACAAACGCAATTAAAATGTTTGCGGTCGTATAAAAATTATAATGAAAAGTATGTTTTTTTTTGTCTGGATTCGTGTGCGCCTGTAAACGGGTTTAGGTGTACTAAGAACAGATAAATATTCTGCAGCTGGTAGTGATACAATACTAGGAGAATGAGTGACAAACCTGAAGTACAATAGTCAATATTACTTTATTGTTGTAAGAAAATGTACTGTCCAACTATGAATCCCTCAGTATTTCTCTTTTTATTTTTTACCTTTTATTACGTGTTTTTTTTTTTATTGTTGTAGGTTTGTAAATTGAATTTATAATCCTTCTATACATCTCTCTTATTTCTTAAATATATATTTTGTACCAATTGCAGAAATGATGAATACAAAACAAAAGAGTAATACATGTACCTACAAAAGGCTACAATATATTATTATGTAATTGTGGTTTGAGTGTGTGGAAGACCTGTTGAAATATAATCAGTATTTAAAGATTTTTCAGTTATATTTGTCATAATTACATGTGTGTATAAAGGTTTTATTCTGAAAGAAGATTTATTTCACTCCATTCTGAAACAGTCCTAGTAGCTAAGGAATATAACTAATGAATCACGGTACTTATGTTTAAATATAAATATTCTATACTCTGCACACCAATATATATGCCCATTGTTCCTGTGGTCGTTGTTTTTGTGGGATTTCTTGTTGGCATTGGTTTATCTGTTGTAGGTGGATGTTTTGTAGTTCTCAAAGGTGATGAAAAAGTTTCTGGAGTTATTGGTGTTGAAGTTGGTTCATCTGTTGTCGGGAGATTGGGTGTACTTCCCAAAGGTGTTGAAAAATATAACAAGTTGAAATAATGTGAGTGTTCACAAACATGTATATATGGTAACAAATTGTTTTCATTATTGCATGTTTTGTGTATTTTTTTAAGAACCAAACGGAAGATATTAAATAAAATAAAAATGTTTGCTCTCACCAATCAGGAGGAATACACGTAAGTTTTGCATTAATATCCAGGAGGGAGTATCAAGAAGTACAAATTGATGTGTAAATGATGTACCACATGTGCTCCGACATTGACATTTTATTTTAATTGAAAATTTAGAAACAAAACTGTTCAAACTTACAACACATTCCAGAATGACAAATCCATTTTCACGACTTTCATTGAGTATTTACCACAGTAGTAGGTTTCTTCTCTCCTCAATATAGAATTGTGCACCTACAACGGTCTTTTACCTTGATGGTTGATACCATTTGATATTGACGAACCTTAAGAAACATATACCACATCCAGTATTCCGAATCCAATTTACCCCAAGACCTACTTGGGTCTCTGGGTTTTTTTTGCCCTTGTTCATATGCAACTTTTTGCTTGTCATTATCAATTACAGAGTTGTACATGTGAAGATCCAAATCGACATACTCGCCCCTTTGAATATTTTGTCTTAAACTCGGACTAACATGTAATGTTATTCATCATCAAGACTAGGCAAGTAACTAGGTGTTTGCATGAATATTGAATGAATTTGCCTAATTGTATTACATGATTTGTAACATCAAATACAGGGACCATTACTGATACTCCTCCTGAAGTTGAGGTATGGTTAGATACTGAATCTGGTACTGTTTAGGGCTGATTTCCCTCTTGTCGTGATGTAGCTATTTCTAATGATGAAGTTTTTGAAATGGCTTTCCGCTTTTTCCTTGACCCTCTTGTTTTCATCTTAGAGTCTTAAAACTATAAGATAAAATTGAACAAATAATATTGCTTTACAATGAACTTGTTAAAAAGCGACTTCGAAAAGGGGAATAGAAGTATGGTCATTTGGTCTTCTTCCGACCGGCAGTAAAACGCTTGCCAAAGTGGGGCATCCGTTTGGCTGTGCGGGATGTACAAGTTTGGTAATCGTTGTGGCTTTATGTGGTCTGTTATGGTTTTGTTGTATATATTTGAGTATCCATATGGTTTTGTTGCATATATTTCTTTCAATTCAATCAGTTTTATGTCATCAAGGTCCATCACTTTATACCTACTGATATAATTTTTGTTCAAGGATTGCAGTACTTTCGATAACCTGGGTTGCACTTTTTTGCAGTCTGTAGTATTCCCGGAGTACCTTTGCATCACACCTTAAAATGTTGGTAGTATATCCTGTGAAATATCCTTAATTATTGAAAATATGTGCCAAAGTTGCTAGTTGTTTCTGTTGTCTATTTGGGGTTTTAAGTAGTGGTTTTCTGTTTCACTGTCTTTGGCAAATATTCCTAAACAGTCATTGCCTCTGTATGCGTTCTCAGAATTGCATTGACGAGAAAATATGCACACCTGCATTATCTGCTGTTCAGTAATAATTTAATACTAGTATGTTCAACCACATTCTTAGTTAATAAAACAGATATCTTCCTGCCTCTAATTTCTATCCCGAGATGAGATTGGCATAGCTTACGGTCAAATACAGAAAGAGTATTCATAATAACATGATTGTTCTGGAACTCATTCATCATTTGTTCTTCATGTGATCATAATTTTATATTGTTTATGTTTCATTGCGTACATCACTTTATATGCTCCAGTTTTAGGAGTTTTATACAGGACAGTGTAGGAACCCATGTTACTTTCCCCTATCTTCTGAGTGACGAAAACTGCTCAGCAGGCCGTGTGCACAACTGCAAGGAACATTCAGCGGACACGTTGTCCAAAGGAACAATTCGTGGCTAACCACAGCGTGAGTTACCTTTAAAACATTACAAATTATGTCTTTACATCAGCGATGAACTGTTTTAATATGTTTTCCTATGTTATAAAGAAACTATGAACATTTAACCGTTCAAACTGTTCGTATCTGCGATTACACAATTTAATTCAGACAGAACCCGACGTGTGCAAGAATATTCATCTATTTATTATTATAAAGAACATTAACAGCTTTATAAATCTACGAACTGTTTATCCGTATTTTTAATGGACTTTAATTATCATTGAACACATTGTAAAATTGTATTTATATTTGTATTTTCAGTTTTTCACCATTTGGATTGGTAGTGAAATAAAAGTCAGCTCCTGATTGTTTTATCTTTACATAAACCCAGTCATCTTGGTTAAACTCGCTGGTCCGGCCAGTACAGTGAAAAAGCTACAACTTGCCTGTTGTTTTTCTTGGATAACGTACGCCACTCCACGACAGTCAGCAGACCCATAACGTAGTTTCAACGACAACGTTTCGTGCTAGTAAATTGACAACAACTTGTCTACACATCTCCTGAACAGGAAATACAACGGAGCAACGTTCGTAGCTGTTACCTTGACACTACGCAACACAGCTTGTGCGTCCTAGGCAGCAAACCAACAACGTTGAACAAACATTGCCTACTTCTAGTTGATTTACATCATGGATCCCAGTCACGAACAGCAAGAAGAGGTTCAGCCCCCTGAGGGAGATGTCCCTAAAGAACTAGAAGAAAATCCGTCTGATAACACACATTTAGATGAAAATGCCGAGACTAGGCGAGTACGTGAACTTACCGAAAAGGGACAGGGAGCCTTTATAGAAAAACGTGACAAGTTCTATCACGACTTAGAGGCCCTATGGTCAAACCTAGAATCTCAGTTATTAAAAACGACCAAGCCTCCTAACGACCTCCAGCAATTGCTAACATCACAAGATAAAATTGTACAAGCCTGTACTAATTATCGCAGGCTCACAGACGAGTACTTGAAATTTCTCAAAAATACTAGAACATTAGACAGCCTTCAAGACATTGATACGTGCAAATTTTCAACGGATATCCGAATGTCTAAAGTCGACCTGGCAATTGAAACTTTACAGGAGCATCGCCTTACCCTCACAAAGGCTAAATCTACAAAAACGAGGACATCTAAGGGCAAGAACACCTCGCATAGTAGGAGCTCAAACGTCTCTGACATGTCAAGCCTAGCACGGAGAAAGCGTGCCAAGGCAGAGTCCGCTAGATCAAGGATAGCCTTTGCCGAGCAACAAGCTGCCCTCTTAAAGCAGGAGGCCGTATTAGAGGAACAGACCCTATACAGACAAACAGAAATCAAGGCCAAAATAGAACAAGAAGCCATCCGTGCAAAACAAGAGGCCACACGTAGAATTGCTGAGGCTGCTCACCTGAAAGCTCGAATTGAACAGGAGGAGGAGCACATCAAAGCTGAAAAAGAACAGGAGGCCGTTCGCAGGAAAACTCAAATGGAACAGGAAGCAGCACGTGCGGTCCGAGAAAAAGCCGAACTTAGGGCTGCTATGAAGATTCTCGAAGCAAAAAGAGAAGCTGCAGCCGCAGAAGCCGAGGCTCGTATCCTGGAATACGACGGCAGCCAAGCAGTTAGCGATCTCCCTGACGAATCGGAAGACCCTCTCCAGCGTGTGCAAGATTTCGTCAATAAACATCCTGTACTAACTGCTGTAAAGGAAGTAACAGGTCCTCAAAAGATGAGACAAAGTCCTGTTAAGATTGAGCTGAGTCATGAAGCACCAGCGTTCGTGCCATCCGTGGCACTCAACTTGCCGCCACAGACATCTGCTGTTTTGCCTTCTGATACCAAGTCACCGGAAGTTACCTTAATCCCAGATCTGGGAATAGTAACCGGCATACAAAAACTAGGCCTTTCGGAGGAGATCCCTACTGAACACCAAAAACAAGGCGTAATAGAAGAGACCCCTGTTGCATACCAGCAACAAATCAATCCTACGTCGGAGATAACCAGATTTCTCCTACGCAAGGACCTGCTGTTCTCCCGGCTAACAAGCTTTAATGACCGGGCAGAATCCTTTCATACATGGAAAGCAAGCTTTAAGAACGTGACAGACGAGTTACAAGTTAGTGACTCAGAACAGATTGATCTTCTGATCAAATGGCTCGGTCCAGAGTCTGCTAAACATGCCATTAGCATACGAGCGTCGAATGCCAACAACCCAACAAGAGGCCTACGGAGACTATGGGAGAGACTTGACGACCGATATGGAGCTCCAGAAATGTTGGAGGCGTCTCTCGTTAACAAACTTGTCAACTTCCCAACACTGACGAATAAGGACAACTCACTCCTTTACGATTTGTCAGATATTATCTCAGAAATAGAATATCACAAGGAAAATCCCAAGCTGGGATGTTTGCTTGCGTATTTCGACTCTTCATCCGGGATAAATCCTATAGTGGAAAAACTGCCATACGGACTCCAAGAAAAGTGGATAACAAGGGCTTCAAGATACAAGTCTAAATATGAAGTTGCATTTCCACCTTTCACAGAATTCTCTGCCTTCATCAGGGAAATTAGCAAAATAAAGAACGATCCTGGGTTCATTTTTGGGTCAAGAGTCACACCAAGTACAAAAGGTGCTGCGCCAAAGTTCACACCTCAAACATATTCTAAAGTCAATGTTCATAAGACAGCAGTTGAACAGCAACCTGGAGACAGCAGTGAACAACAAAGTCTTTGCATTTTGCATAATACAAAGCATACCTTAAACGAATGCCGAGCGTTCCGTGCCAAATCAATCGAGGAACGCAGGGAACTGTTGAGGCAAAACAATCTGTGTTACAAATGCTGTGATTCGACTATGCACAGAAGTCGTGATTGCAAGGCAAGTATCAGTTGCAATGAATGTGGAAGTAAACAACACACCACCGCATTACACACAAATCGAGTGTACCAACCCAAAGGTGTACCGCCTTCACCGCCTAGATCAGTCCACGGCGGGGGGCTAATTGATACAGCCTACGGCGGGGAGCAACTTGAGTTAGCTGAAACCAAGCTAACCTCTGTTAGTTCAACTTGCACAGATATCTGTAAAGATGGCAACAGTATTAAATCTTGTGCCAAGATACTCCCTGTGAATGTCTTTCACAAAAATAATCAGGAAAAAGTAATTCGCATGTATGCAATTATTGACGACCAAAGCAACCGGTCTCTCGCCGCTCCTGAATTCTTCAGCCTATTCAACGTACAGGAAGAAACAAAAGACTATATGTTATCCACATGCTCCGGCAGCAAGGTTACTTCCGGAAAACGAGGAAACGGCTTTGTCGTAAAGTCTGTACAAGACAATACTAGATTCAATCTGCCTGAACTGATTGAATGCGATAACATTCCCAATAATCGGAACGAAATTGCTACAACTGAGGATATATTGCAATATCAACACTTGCAAGAACTACAAAAAAATATTCTCCCGATTGATGGAAAATGCAAAATCCTATTGCTCATTGGAAGAGACCTAATAGAGGCACATCACGTCCTTGATCAACGTCTAGGACCACCAAAGGCTCCATTTGCGCAAAAGTTAAACCTGGGTTGGATTATCGTTGGTGAAATACGCTCCGATAAGCAACATGTTCACCTTGAACTCACTACAAAGGAAACAAATCCAGCTTGCAGTGTTGTGAAACCACATACAAAGAAATTACCTGAGTGTAATAAAACCAACACCCAGTCAAATGGAATTCGAACTGATTCGTTTAAACAATATCCCCGTTTACATTGGCAACCAAAAACGAAATCAGCGACTTCGATCGTCAAATTTGCAGAAGACGAAAAGTTCATTTCGGAAGCAACATCACTAAAAGTGAATGCCGACAAAGAAAAGTACATCCGAAAACATTCAATTCCCAAGGAAAGCTCCAATTTGCCTTTGGATACGCAAGGACAAGAGGAAAGTAGAATAGACAATTCGGACTTAAGTCACAGAGGAAAGGAACATGACACCGGCTGGTCTACTATATGCCGTAAACGTAAAGGAAAGCGTCCGTTTTGCAAGACGTCCCCGTTGGATCGCATATCTGTGTCGAAAGGAGATTCATTCATCAGAACTACAGCCATGGAATTGGATCTTAGATCGCCGCGATCTCGTCGGAAACACCACCTTATCTAGGAAAGAAGCTGTGAAATACCCAGCCTCCCGTTGGATTACTTCCAAGTTCATATAAGTGGAACTTTGGACGGCTGTTATATATTTAACATTTTATTTGTTTTAATAATGGAATAGTGATGTCAGATAGACCTCAGACGGGGAGTGTTCTGGAACTCATTCATCATTTGTTCTTCATGTGATCATAATTTTATATTGTTTATGTTTCATTGCGTACATCACTTTATATGCTCCAGTTTTAGGAGTTTTATACAGGACAGTGTAGGAACCCATGTTACTTTCCCCTATCTTCTGAGTGACGAAAACTGCTCAGCAGGCCGTGTGCACAACTGCAAGGAACATTCAGCGGACACGTTGTCCAAAGGAACAATTCGTGGCTAACCACAGCGTGAGTTACCTTTAAAACATTACAAATTATGTCTTTACATCAGCGATGAACTGTTTTAATATGTTTTCCTATGTTATAAAGAAACTATGAACATTTAACCGTTCAAACTGTTCGTATCTGCGATTACACAATTTAATTCAGACAGAACCCGACGTGTGCAAGAATATTCATCTATTTATTATTATAAAGAACATTAACAGCTTTATAAATCTACGAACTGTTTATCCGTATTTTTAATGGACTTTAATTATCATTGAACACATTGTAAAATTGTATTTATATTTGTATTTTCAGTTTTTCACCATTTGGATTGGTAGTGAAATAAAAGTCAGCTCCTGATTGTTTTATCTTTACATAAACCCAGTCATCTTGGTTAAACTCGCTGGTCCGGCCAGTACAATGATCTATTGCACCTCCCAAAGGGCTTTTTATCATCTTCTAACACCATCCCCTCCGCCTCACCACTTCTTCGTCTATAAGATAGTATAATGTCAGCAATACACATCTGTGCAAATTCAACAGATTGTTCCTGGTCGTTTATATCAGATTTTTTTATTTTTCAGTAACTGATTTGATGATTGCCTTTAGTAGAAGATGTATTTACTTTAAGTCCACATCTTTTAGTCGTAAGAAAATAAAATGAATTTTCATTTTTTACCTTTTGCACGCTTTAAATTATATATATAATACATATGTTTCTTTTTTCAGTTCGACATCCAATCCAAGACGGGAAGTCTTTTCTTTTCTACAAAAGAGAGTCACCCCTCAGCAATGTCTATCCCGCCCGATTTAAGGTGACAGGGAAATGGTATTATAGTACAGAAAAATGTTACATGTACAAAAAAGCTGGTAAGTGTTTTAGTAGGTATTTATTACTTGTTCTCCTCTACATGACACTGAGAAAGTATACTGTTGAACATGTATAAATGATAATCAGGAAATTATATCCTTTTTTTTTCTATCGACGGGTGAGTTAATAAGTTATGTATAAAAAATATAAAAAAAATTGAATCGGTACTGTTTACTTGAATAATAAATTGCTAGCTACCCACCATGTCTAAAGACAACTGAAAGCACTCAAAATTTATAACATGTAATTTTCGTTTTATTGTTCCCATATAAAAATCGGACACTAATGAAGGCCAAACATATGATGCTATTGAATACAGATACTTTTAGGTTTTACCTTATATGTCAATTCAACCCCCCAAGGTGACTGGGGAATAGAAATATAGTCACCATTGGTCTTCCTCCGACCGGCAGTAAAACCCTCGCTAAAGTGGGGCGTCCGTTTGGCTGTGCGGGATGTACAAGTTCGCGGTCACGTCCGGCAGAATGGGGACGTTAAATTCGATGCCTCGTGTAAAGAGAGTGCCACGTTGTTTGCACGTTAAGAACCCTTGCAACTACTCTTTTAGGGGCCCTTAGGTGGCGTCTTCCTCCGACCGGCAGTAAAACCTTCGCTAAAGTGGGGCGTCCGTTTGGCTGTGCGGGATGTACAAGTTCGCAGTCACGTCCGGTCAGAATGGGGACGTTAAATTCGATGCCTCGTGCAAAGAGAGTGCCACGTTGTTTGCACGTTAAGAACCCTTGCAACTACTCTTTTAGGGGCCCTTAGGTGGCGTCTTCCTCCGACCGGCAGTAAAACCTGCGCTAAAGTGGGGCGTCCGTTTGGCTGTGCGGGATGTACAAGTTCGCAGTCACGTCCGGTCAGAATGGGGACGTTAAATTCGATGCCTCGTGTAAAGAGAGTGCCACGTTGTTTGCACGTTAAGAACCCTTGCAACAACTCTTTTAGGGGCCCTTAGGTGGTCTGTTGCTAGGCTAAATGTCTGTCCTTATCCAATGTACCCTCAATTTCCCGTACCCCCAGGGGTGACTGGGGAATAGAAGTATGGTCACCATTGGTCTTCCTCCGACCGGCAGTAAAACCCTTGCTAAAGTGGGGCGTCCGTTTGGCCGTGCGGGATGTACTAATTTGCAGCCACGTCCGGTCAGAATGGGGACGTTAAATCCGATGCCTCGTGTAAAGAGAGTGCCACGCTCTTTGCACGTTAAAAACCCTTGCAACACCTCTTTCAGGGGTCCGTAGGTGACCTGTTGCAAGGCTAAATTTCTGTCCCTATCCAATATACCCTCATTTCCCGTGGCAGTCTAAATTTCTCCGACCTTAATCCCGGACGCCCCTATTACAGAACCTACCTATTGTATTTATTGTTAATTTGTTCTCGTCCTGAATATGCATGAAACATTTGCCATTGGACGTTAAGCAACCAACAATCAATCAATCAATTTCCCGTGGCAGTCCAAATTTCCCCGACCTTCATCCCGGATGGCCTCTATTACAAGACCTACCTATTGTATTTATTGTTAACTTGTTCTCGTCCTGAACATGTATGAAATATTTGCCACTGGACGTTAAGCAACCGACAATCAATGTCAATTCAAAATTTTCAATATATAACTTGTGCTAGTTTAAAAGATATCACTTTTTGTCGAGCCTGCGACTTCTGTCGCAGAAAGTTCGACTTAGGGACAGTGATCCGGCGGCGGCGGCGTTAGCTTACTTCTTAAAAGCTTAATATTTCAGAAGGTATAAGACCTGGATCCTTCATGCTTTGTATATAGATGCCTTTTGTTACGATGTTTCCGTCTGTCCATTGCCCTTGGCCTCATTTTCATAATTCAGTGCCCCCCCCCCCCCCCCCCCCCCCCCCCCCCAAGGGTGACTGGGGAATAGAAATGTGGTCACCATTGGTCTTCCTCCGACCGGCGGTAAAACTCGCGCTAAAGTGGGGCGTCCGTTTGGCTGTGCGGGATGTACAAGTTCGCAGTCACGTCCGATGCCTCGTGTAAAGAGAGTGCCACGTTCTTTGCACGTTAAGAACCCTTGCAACAACTTTTTGAGGGGTCCGTAGGTGGCCTGTTGCAAGGCTGAATGTCTGTCCTTATCCAATATACCCTCATTTTCCAGTGGCAGTCCAAATTTCCCCGATCTTCATCATGGACGGCCTCTATTACAGTACCTACCTATTGTATTTTTTGTTAACTTGTTCTCGTCCTGATTATGCATTAAATATTTGGCACTGGACGTTAAGCAACCAACAATCAATCATGATTCGGTGACTACTTGAAAAAAGTTAAGACTTTTAGTATTCTTAATTTCTCTCTTAATATAAGTAATATGATAACTATATTTGGTACCTTTGCGTACCTTGCAAGGTCATCATGCCCGTCAGACAGTTTTCACTTGATCTCGACCTCATTTCATGGATCAGTGAACAAGGTTAAGTTTTCGTGGTAAAGTCCATTTCTCAGATACTATAAGCAAAAGGTCTACTATATTTGATGTATGAAATGAATGTAAGGTGTACATGTCCAACTGGCCGGTTTAACTAACCTTGACCTGATTTTCATGGTTCAGTGGTTACAGTTAAGTTTTTGTGTTTTGGTCTGTTTTTCTAATACAGTATGCAATATGTCTACTATATTTGGTGTTTGTAAGGTATACATGTTCAACTGGCGGGTGTCATCTGATCTTGACCTCATTTTCATGGTTCAGTTGTTACAGTTAAGTTTTTGTGTTTTGGTCTGTTTCTCTAACACTGTATGCAATAGGTAAACTATATTTCGTGTATAAAAATATTTTACGATGTACGTGTCAGTTCGGCATGTTTTATTTGACCTTGACCTCATTTTCATGGCTCATTGCTCAATGTTAAGTTTTTGTTTTTAAATCTGTTTTTCTTGTACTTTAACCCCAAGGGTGACTGGGGTATAGAAGTATGGTCACCATTGGTCTTCCTCCGACCGGCAGTAAAACCCGTGCTAAAGTGGGGCGTCCGTTTGGCTGTGCGGGATGTACAAATTTGCAGCCACGTCCGGTCAGAATGGGGACGTTAAATCCGATGCCTTGTGTAAAGAGAGTGCCACGCTCTTTGCACGTTAAGAACCCTTGCAACAACTCTTTGAGGGGTCCGTAGGTGACCTGTTGCAAGGCTAAATTTCTGTTCTTATCCAATATACCCTCATTTCCCGTGGCAGTCTAAATTTCTCCGACCTTAATCCCTTAATCTATTTCAGATCCTACCTATTGTATTTATTGTGAACTTGTTATCGTCCTGAATATGCATGAAATATTTGCCACTGGACGTTAAGCAACCAACAATCAATCAATCAATCTTGTACTTTAAGCAAAAAGTCTACTATATTTGGTGTATGGAATGATAGTAAGGTGTATATGTCTGTCTGGAAATTATCATCTGATCATGACCTCATTTTCATGGTTCATTAGTCAATCTTAAGTTTTACTTGTTAAGTTTAATTCTTAGATACTGTATGCAATAGGTCAACTATATTTAAAGGATATTTTTGTATGGAATGATTGCAAGGTGTACATGTAGTTCATATTTGTTTATTTGATCTTGACCTTCTTTTCTTGGATCTTGTTAAGTTTATATGATAGTTATGCTTTATATATTTAAGACCAGCAACATAAAATCAACAGTTAGTAAAGAAGGCGAGACTTTTCAGCGTGTGCACTCTTGTTTTAAATTAAAAGTATAATATATAAAAAAATCGCCAGGTATGTTGACTGTGCACATTCAGTAATGTTTGGTGATGAACATCAATTATTTTTCAATTGCAAAATGGTTGGAATCAACATTTTTTTTTACCAGTCAGTATAATTATTATGAGAATTTAAAATACCCTATATTCAGAGAGGTCATAGGGTGCAAACAATTTTGACTGAAACTGATAACATATAAGAGACTTATAACTGAAAGCTTCATTTACTTACTCGAGACACCTGATATACAATAACAAAAAAGTACAGGACCAAGTCCTCAGTATAGGTTATATCATGTTATATTGATACAAGTAAATGTGTAAAGCCACTTACCCTTTTGTGTTAAAGTAAAAAAACATTTTATGAGTCATAAAATTCATAAATGACATATTTCAGAGTATTCAGTATAAGTTATATCATGTTATATTGATACAAGTAAATGTGTAAAGCCACGTACCCTTTTGTGTTAAAGTAAAAAAACATTTTATGAGTCATAAAATTCATAAATGACATATTACAGAGTATTCAGTATAAGTTATATCATGTTATATTGATACAAGTAAATGTATAAAGCCACTTACCCTTTTGTGTTAAAGTAAAAAAACATTTTATGAGTCATAAAATTCATAAATGACATATTTCAGAGTATACACTTACATATTCAATGTATAATAGTAATACTTTTCAGATATTCTGACTTTTCAAAAGATAACTCTGTGGGCTTACCAGTTGTATATCAATTTATTTGCAAGGTCTTAAAATATAAAATT